ATTAAGGAATTAGAATATATTTGGAAGGGATACCCGAACTGATAATGTTTGTACTTAAAGTTATTTTGATTATGGTAGTGTAAATTTATAAAGCTTTAAAAACAGGTTTAGGTTGAATAAATTTAAGCTAGAATTGGATTATTTTAAATAAAATATGGTACTTAAGGGAAAAAGAGAGGGAATATTTGATGTATTGATTGAATAAACCAAATACACAAGTACAGCATAGGTGGCACCTTGCTCAATAGTAGTAACTGTGAGAGGGACCTCGGAGTCCTAGTGGACAATCACCTAAATATGAGCCAGCAGTGTGCTGCAGCTGCCAAAAAGGCCAACACAGTGCTGGGCTGCATTAACAGAGGGATAGAATCAAGATCACATGAAGTATTAATACCACTTTACAATGCCTTAGTAAGGCCACACTTGAAATACTGCATCCAGTTTTGGTCACCACGATGTAAAAAAGATGTTGAGACTTTAGAAAGAGTACAGAGAAGAGCAACAAAGATGATTAGGGGACTGGAGGCTAAAGCATATAAGGAACGGTTGCTGGAATTGGGTATGTCTAGTCTAATGAAGAGAAGGACGAGGGGGGACATGATAGCAGTGTTCCAGTATCTCAGGGGCTGCCACAAAGAAGAGGGAGTCAAGCTATTCTCCAAAGCGCCTGAGGGCAGAACAAGAAGCAACGGATGGAAACTCATCAAGGAGAGAAGCAACCTAGAACTAAGGAGAAACTTCCTGACAGTTAGAACAATTAACCAATGGAACAACCTGCCTCCAGAAGCAGTGAATGCTCCAACACTGGAGGTTTTTAAGAAGAGACTGGACAGCCATTTGTCCGAAATGGTATAGGGTTTCCTGCCTGAGCAGGGGGTTGGACTAGATGACCTTCAAGGCCCCTTCCAACTTTACTACTACTACTACTACTACTACTACTACTACTACTACTACTACTACTACTACTACTACTACTATTATTATTATTATTATTATTATTATTATTATTATTATTATTATGTTTTGTTTGCGGATGTTTGACCACCCTAACACCACGGTGTGTCTTGAGTACTTTGTTTTAAAAATAAAAAAAACAATAAAACTTGTCTTAAAGTTTGTGGTGGTTAATGCTTTTCATGCAGGATGGGATGGCACAGCCTTCTTTGAAGGACGTGGGGTTACAGCTCTTTCTCAACTGTTTTAGACCACTTTGATCAAGTCTCCAACCTTCCCTTTTTTAGGGAAGGCTGTTGACAAGGTGATTGGTGTTCAGCCATAGAGAGTCATGAAGCAGACTATTTGGACCCCTTTGAGGCTGGGTTCAGGCTAAGGGACAGTACTGAGACAGCATTGGTCTCATGTGCAGATGTCCTTTGGAGAGGTGCTGCAATTATCTTGGCCCACCTGCATAATCCCAGCAGAAGGATTGTCTCTCTGAGCTGTCTTCGGGGATTGGCAGTGTGAGGTGGCTCCCTTCCTTTTTTCATTGGCCAGTTTCAGTTGGTATTAGTTGGGGAGAGAGGTCAAGGCCTAGGGCAGTGGTGGCGAACCTATGGCACGGGTTCCAGAGACGGCACTCAGAGCCCTCTCTGTGGGCACACGCGCCATCGCCCCAGTCCTAGGCCTTCAGCTGGGTTTTATAAAATCTTTTCGCTTTAGGTGTACAAAAAAAAAAAAGGTTCAATCAATCAGTCAATTTCAACTTCTCGCGGGATAAAAAAGATCTTGCAAAGTTGGAATTGATTGAACTTTTTAGTCCCACCCAGTCTGCGGTTACCACCGGAGCCACGTCCACCCAATGGGCCACGCCCACCCGGCACCCGATGATGCATAAGTGGGTTTTGGGTTGCAGTTTGGGCACTCGGTCTCTAAAAGGTTCGCCATCACTGGCCTAGGGCTCAGGTCCCACTCCTCTGTTCCTAACATTTACATCAGGGGTAGTCAACCTTGGCTCTTTTATGACTCGTGGACTTCAATTCCCAGAATTCCTGAGCCAGCTTAGCTGGCTCAGGAATTCTGGGAATTGAAGTCCACGAGTCATAAAAAAGCCAAGGTTGACTACCCCTGATTTACATGAAAGGACTCAATGAGGTGATTCACAGCATGAATTATACATCTCCACCTCTGGCTGGGCAGGTGATGCTGTCATAGTGCTGACCGAATGCTGGGAGGCTGTACATTAGGTCTGGATAGGGAGGAACCAACTGTGACTCAACCCTGGCGAAACAGATTGTTTTGGGTTTTTGGCTTCTAAATCAAACCCAACCCCAGCACATGCACAAGAGTCATCAAGCACACGGAGGCCAACAGTGTCCGGCGGCAGAAACAGCCCACCAGCCCCTTGGCGCAGTGCATGTAAGTCCAAGCGCGGAGGCAGAAGTGGTGGGAGGAAGGATATCGGGATGTGCTGCGCGGCCACCTGGCTCGGACTTACCTACGCTGCGCCAAGGGGCCAGCGGGCTATGGCTACTACCGGACACTGTCGACCTTTGCACGCTCCCACTTGTGCTGGCCATGTCCACCCCCCCCGGGCTTATTTTTGGGGTAGAGCTTATATTAGGCCCATCCCCCAAAATCACGCTAGGACTTATTTCCTGGGTGGGTCTTATTTTGGGGAAAACACGATAGCAGAAAGCTAAGCACGGTAATTGTATATCTCTGAAAGAAAATGAAACCAAAATAGACAACGCAGCACCAAGTAATTTCTAGGGGGACAAAACTCTAAGAAGCTAGCAATTATTTTCTTATTTTAATATGCAAGCAATGCAAATCCATCCAAAATGAGCAATGGCATCTCATTACTCAGAGTCAGTTTTCTCAAATCTCTGCAACTGGTTCATTTCTAATCTGCCTGAAAGGCTAACTCAGGCCTCACCTTCATTAATTCCTGCAGGGACTCAAGTTGCAGAAACTTGCTCTCAGTGATTAACTTCTCTGGATCACATTGCTGTAAAGTGGAAAATGGGAAGACAAATACAGTATTAATCTCATAAGGCAGACCTTGTAAAATATACATAGTATAAACACCTAAGTGTCCACAAAGTTCTAGAATACACTGCCTCTTTATTAATACCCCATACTAATTTTAGGAGGAAGGACTCCTTGGTTTGAATCCAGCATCTTTTTTTATTAGATCCGTGTCCCTCCTGGCTGGTACTGGCAGCTCGGGAGGGGACACGAGCCTGGCTCCAGGGAATTATTAACGCTTCTTTGCAGGAGGGTATCTTCCCGGCGGCCCTAAAGGAGGCCGTGGTGAGGCCCCTCCTCAAGAAGCCTTCCCTGGACCCAGACGAGTTGGCCAATTATCGCCCGGTCTCCAACCTT